TCGATCCCAGGATCCTGGGATCATGACCTGAGCCGAAGGCAGACGCTTAACGACTGAGCCACCCAGGTGCCCCAGGAGCGCTGTTCATTGTTGCTAATTTGCTGCATGACTTAGAACAGAAAAGACTTATATTTATCAATGATATGATGTGTGTTAGGTGCTTTCAGAATGCTAGGATATTATTGCTCTTTTCCATATCAGGAGGCTGAGGTTCAGAGAGATTAAAATGATTGTTTAAAGTTACACAACTTGTATTCCCAGCTGGTCTTTCATCCAAGTACTGACCAGGCCTGACCCTGTTTAAGTTTCAGAGATCAGACAAAACGGGCACATTCAGGATAAAGTCACACAGCTTGTAAATGTTTGAGGCAGAAGTAGGTCTGTTTGACGCCAAAGCTTATGTGCTTCTTACCATACTGCCAGATGAACAGGATCACTTAACCTTCCCTGAGTGTCATTTTGCGTGTGTCTTCCCCCAGCAGAGGATGGATATAGGAGTAAATGGTTGCTACAGGCAATATCAACTCTAAAATTCTGGGGTCCTGTAAGTTGGATGTTTTACCCTTGTCATGAAACATAATTGAATGAAGAAGTATTTTAATGAAATATAGTGATTTCAAACATAGAGCAGAATAAGAGAAAAAGGCTAGTTAGTAGAATTTGTAGATTCTTAAGGGTCCTGAATAGGGGACTTTTTGGTCATCAGGCTCAGAGTTGATAAATGGTCTCAGAAAAGAGGCAGGCTCCCAACTTTGGGACCTAGCCATCAGTGAGAAAGAAAGCATGATAATTTTGTGAAGGTATGTATACCTGCACAAGTGTGTGTGATTTTTTTTTTTTTTTAACTTAATGAGGTAGTCTTCCTTCAGATTTGGCCTTGAAAAATTAAAAGTGATTTTTTTTTTTTCTACATTATTAGAAACCTAGAACAGTTCAAACCCAGGAATTTATATCAAATGCAGCTGCAGCCTTTTGGCAGTTCAAAGAATGGCAAGCAGTTTCTTTCAGTATACCACAGATTATTACTTTTAGTATTAACGTTTAGGAAAGTGATTGCAGAAATTAATGATGGTCTAATGCCACAGAGATGGTTAAGGCAGAATTAGGATAAGATCTGAAAAATTCTGGCTTTAGGCCAATACTCCTGCTAGAATATATACTTCTTAACTCCTGTTGGTCAGTGAGTTCTGTTTATGCTATACTCTGGAGGAGGGGGGAAAATCTTGGAATGTTGAGTTGTTTCAATGTTTATTCCTTAGTAAAAGGAAATGAACCTGTTAGCTTTCACTTCAAGTAAAGATACAGGTAAAGGGGAAGAGTGATCTCTTATCTCTTTACTGTTACATAACCTAAAAATATATTAATAAAGAAAAGAGCTTTGTGTTTTATTATGAGATGACTTAAGCAAAAGTGATTAAATATCTATAACTGATACTTCTTCCAGCAGGACACTGTGTGGTGCAACTGCATTTCCTCTGAGAATGCAGCAGTGGATTTTAAAAGATCCATACTTTTCCTTTTAAAAATAGCAGAGTGATCACTCTAGTGCATGGGTGTATCGGTCTTGCTTCCCAGGGGGGTGTGTTTAATTGCTGTCAAACTGTGAAGCTTTATACTGACATTATTCTTTGTTAGCCATTTTAGGCTTAAGGGCCCACGGGAAGGCTTGGGTCACCCAGAAATCCCATTAGTATAAAATCACATTTGTAAGCCATATCCCTTGCGTCTTGAAATCCCGCTTTTTGCAGGACCATGACTATAATTTTTAATATGCTAACAAAATTAGGGGCTATTAGGTAGGAAGATTAATACTCTTAGCAGGTTGCTTAATTTATTTATCAAGGCCAGCTTAATCCTTTGCTTATGAGAATCAGTTCTTATTTGCTTATTGCAGATACTCTTTAAAAAGAAGAATCAAATCATCTTCATAAATAACTGTTAAAATAAGGATGAAAATTAGCATGCCATTACCAGGATGATATCCTGTGCTATCATGGTCATTTTTAACTAACATAACCTGTCTTTCTCTGACATTTTTGTAGAAACTTAAGAAACAATGAAATTTCATGGGCCATAGAAGATGCTAGTGAAGCTTTTGCTGGACTTACAAGTCTCACTAAATTGTATGTATTTATAATATTTTTGTATGCCTATATGTGTATTTTCAAGAACCAATTGTAAATGTGATTGGATTATGTCTTTTTGCTATGGCTGGAAAGTCACCCTTTTGACTCACCCACTAAAGGAGGAAGCTTTTTGTTTATTAAGTTTTTTGTTTATCAGTGGCTTTAAATTTTTTTAATTTATTTAGTGGTGGGACACTTTCTATTGAAAGGGCTTTCCTATGGGTACTCAAAGAGGTTATTCATAGAACTGGAATTTCTATTCACGTAAAAGAAATGCACTGAGAAACCAGAGTTGAACCAGTATTCTTTTTAATCATATGAGATTTATGGACAGTTTATCTAGAAAGAGAGGAATTCTCTCAAGTAAGATGTTAGATCTTCTCACCTGAGAATTTCTCCAAAGCTTCACACTTGTCTGAATTTCTTTGACCTGATCTTTTGCTAAGAAGGGAGAGATTGGGACTCTAATCCAGTTTCTCATATGAAATCTAGCAGTGCATCACGGGTCCGCATGGCTATTCACAGGCACCTTGTTGAGCTCCAGCCTCTTAATAGAGGCCTTCATTCTGTGCTTTGCATTGGTTGGTAATAAAGGTTCACAGCTTTCTTAAAAAATCCATGTTAAACTTATTTTCACTTTTTATAGGTAAATGTTTGATTTAATGAATTAAATTTTGCTTAGTGGAGAGCTTTATTAGAAAGGTCTGTTTGTATTTCAGAATCTTACAAGGAAATCAAATTAAGTCAATTACAAAGAAAGCATTCATTGGTCTTGAATCCCTTGAGCATCTGTAAGTATTTTGCATCCATTTTGCTCAGTATATAAATAATCTTTGCTATTAGCAGAGGTTCTCATGACCATTTAAAGTGTTTATTTAATTTAATTGTAGAAATGGTGACCGGTAATGTTTCATTTCTCTTCATTTCAGCGATTTGAACAACAATGCTATAATGTCTATCCAAGAAAATGCTTTTTCTCAGACTCGCTTGAAAGAACTGTACGTAACTTAAGTTTTTTTTTGTCACCAGTCATTAGATCATTATCCATGCTTGTGCTTAAAGTGTGATGAATGTGACCCATGTGTTTCCAAAAACACACAGTATAGGCAGGAAAAAAAAGAAATGTTAATATTCAGTTATTTTAGTGGCTGGATATAATTTTAAAATAACCCAAGATTGAAAAGCCTAGAGTTTGTGGCACCAAGACCCTCTGTTTTGCCTGTGCTTACAGTTAAAGAGACCTTAGCATGGCTCCTTGTGCTTTAAGTATATCCTGTTCCTTTTTTTCCCCCCTGTTTATTTTTGGATTATTGGAAAAATGTGTTCCCAGTCTCCTTAGGTGGGAACCTTAGGGTGGATTACAGTTAAGGTATTAGGTAATTTGTTGGAGATAATTTAGCAGTTTCAGTATCATCAGAGGGAATGTCTCTAATCTGTTTTTTCAAATTACTAAAATGGTCAAACACTGTTAAATAGTTGTATTAGAAAAACACATATTCATGATTTTTAAAAAATTGCTGTTACTGTTTTAGAGATTTCCGAGGGGGAGGGGTGGTTAGTTGGGCATTGGTATTAATTTTATACTCTGGTGATTTGAATATTGAGCCAGTGTTAAGAATCAGTGGACTAAAACAGTTGATCTCGCCTTGCTTAAAAGCCACTCAGAGGACGGACTGTGGACCAGAACTGGTTCATGATGAGATAAGGAGAGAAATTCATAGTAAGCATTTAGAAACTTTTAGAACAATTTGACATTATTGTGACACTTCTGTTGAATTTTATAGAAGTATTAATCTACAACAGATTGGAAATTATAAAACTGGTCCTTCATCACAAGTAGTTTGAGATGCACTAGAAGTTTGTGAGTTCATACTGCCTAGATTTCAAATTTCTGCTCCATTCTTTACAGCTATGTGACGTTGGGGAAATTTAGTCTAAGACTCAATTTTCCTTCTCAAAATGGAAGTTGTACCTCCTTCAGAGTTATGTGAGGATAAAACTAGATAATTTGTTTATTCAAGAAATATTTATTATCCTCTGCTACGTAAGGTACTGTCCTAGATGCTAAAAACACAGTAGTGAACAAGACAAAATCTTTATCCTCATAGCATATTACAATAAATTCTCGTAATGAAGTCAAAGAATAAATTAGTAGATATATAATATCTCATCAGGTAATAAGAATTCTGGAGGAAAATAAAGGTGGGTCACAGGTATAGAGAGTGGCTGGGATTGCTATTTTGGATAAAGTAGTGAGGGAAGGCTTTTTTTTTTTGAAGATAATAGCATTTGAGTCTGGACCTTAGGGGCAAAGCATTGAATACTGGGTGAAGAGCATTCCAGGCACAGAAAACAAGTGAAAAGGCCCTGAGGTAGGAGCTTGCTTCTTATGCTTGAAGGACAGCGAAGACATCAGTGTGGCTGGAAGAGAGCAAGAGGAAAAGGGGTTAGGTGGTGAGGTCAGGGAGTTAAGCAGGAACCAGACCATGTAGGACCTAATGAGTCATGGGGACTTTGGATTTTTTTTTTCCTCTAAATACATTAGGAAACTTTGGAAGGTTTTGAGAAGATGCTCAGCACAGAGGCTGGCACATAGTGAAAGTTGAATAACTAATATTAATAAAATAAAAATGTTATGGGAATCAGTTATTTTCTGCCAGACTTTTAAGTGGCTCTTTTTTTGGGGGGGGGTGTCAAGATATTTTGAGTTATTTCTCCTGGGCTTAACTTTTTTTAAAATTTAAATTTAACTAATTAACATAAAATAATGTATTATTGGTTTCAGAGGTTCAGGTTAGTGATTCATCAGTCTTACACGTAGTGCTCATTACATTACATGCCCTCCTTAATGCCCAGCACCCAGCTACCCCATCCCCCTCCCCTCCAGCAACCCTCAGTTTAACTTTTAAGGGCACAACTTAGTGCATATCAGTATTACCCTTTTTTTGCCCATGATAATCTGAGGGCCACCAATAAAGTTTTAACGCTTATTAGAAGAGCTAAGTGTAAAATGTAATTTAGGTAGTAGGTGAAAGCAAATAGTATAGTTTCAGTCTTCAGTCATTTGGTAATTTGAGAATTGGTTTGAACAAACTGCTAATGGAGGAAACTCTAACACACCTTTTTTTTTTTTAAAGATTATTTATTTGAGAGAGCAAGAATGAGAGAGAGAGAGTACATGAGAGGGGGGAGGGTCAGAGGGAGAAGCAGGCTCCTCGCTGAGCAGGGAGCCCGATGCGGGACTCGATCCCAGGACTCCGGGATCATGACCTGAGCCGAAGGCAGTCGCTTAACCAACTGAGCCACCCAGGCGCCCTCTAACACACCTTTTTTTACTGAGAAATTGTGATTGCTTTTGGTTTACTTTAAATCGAAGTCATATTTACAATACTGTTATTACATCAAGATTTATTAAAATATATCCTTATGCGTTCTGGTATCCTTCACAGTGCTTTTCATAAATATTGGGGGGGAGATGGGAAAGTTGTATGTAAATTTAAAAATATTTTGCATTAAACTTAAATAATCATGGTAGAAACATTAGAAAACATATAGTTAAAGCAAGAAGGAGAGCAAGTCCCCAGATCCCCACTACTCAGAGACAACCACTATTAATATTTTGGTGTATATCTGTCCACACACTTTTCAAGAGAATGCAGGGTATTCTATGAGGTCCTTGGGGGCAGATTGGTTAGCATGTGAGGATAGAAAGATGCAAAAGAAGCAGAAGTAAAGGGAAGTAATGTGAATTCAGTGGTATCTGTGTCCAGGCATTGTGCTAAAGGCTTTATTTAAATTTTTTTGAGGTAGGCATTCTCAAACCCATTTTCCAGAAATAGAAACTGAGATTTTGGAGACATTAAGTATTTTGCCTAAGGTAAGTAGCAGAATTAGGATTAAGTCCATGTCTCATGAGTCCAGCTTACACCTAAGACAGCATAAATCAGACCACATCATTCCTCTATTCTTAACCTTCCAATGGCTTCCCTCACACACATGGAGAAAATACTTCAAGTTCTCTTCTTAGTTTGTAAAGCATCTGCATGGCCTGGTCTTCCCTGCCCAGCTCCTTGACCTCGTTCCTGTCACTGTCCCCCCCCCCCCATGTCCCCTCCCTCAGTGTGCTCTAGCCTCAGTGGCCTCCTTGCTTTTCCTCAAGCACACTGGGCGTGTCTGCCTCAAGGCCTTTGCATACAGTTTCCTATGTATGCGACCCTCTTACCTCAGGTCTCTGTGGGATTTGCTCTCTCACTTCTTTCAGGTCTTTGCTCAAATGCCATCTCTTCAAAGAATCTTTCCCTGACCACTTTATCTAAACTAGTAGCTGCCCTCTCTGTATCTTTGCTTAGCTTTGTTTTTCTTGATAACACTTACTTTCTGACATTGTACTTTGCCTTTATTTGTTTATTGCTTGGCTCTAATGAATGTGTAAGTTCTGTGAGGCCTATATCCCCACGGCCTAGAACAGTGTCTCGCATATAGTAGACTCAAATATTTGTCTATCAGTGAATGAATATAACCTAAGAATTCTTAAATGCAAAAGGTAACTTTTGGTCTGATTAATTAAAATAACCCTTAGTCAAATAAGGCTTTTGAGATACCATTGAAGACTGAAACTTCTTTGGAATCAGATTTTAGATACTTAAAAACTAGATAAGGATTTTGGTGATGCACACAAAGCAAGTTACAATGTTCTCAAAATCTTTGCTTTTGCTACTTCCAGGTGGATGGGACATTCATGGGGTCATTAGGAGAAAACCTATCTGATTTTTCCGATATGTTTTATAGCCCTATCGTAGACAACAAATAAAATTTCACTGGTTCCTAGTTTAAGTTAAGCAGTACACATTGCCACAGGACTGAAATGTTTTTGTAATTGTAATGAAATGATTTGAAAATAATTCTTATGGAATTATTGTGGAGTATTCTTGTGGAAAATATCTTCTCCACAACAAACATGTCTCTATGCTGCAATGTATATGGTAAGCTTTCCCCCAAACTTTTCTGGGAAAAATTTTAAACTTGAAAATTGAAAGGAAGGTACAGTTAACGTCCATATTCCCTTTACCTAGATTTACTGCTTGTTAACTTTTTGCTAAATTTGTGCTCTGTCTCTCCCTTCCTCCCGTCTCTCTCTCCCTCTCCATCTCTTTCTATCTCTCTCTCTTCTCTCCACATACACTACTACTTTGCTTAGGCATTTGATAGTAAGTTGCAGGCATCATGACACTTTGCCCCTAAATATCTCAGCATGTATTTCCCAAGAACAAGGGTGTTTTCCTACATATAACCACTATTATCTCATTCAATTAAATTAACATTGATAAAATAATATTACCTGACATGGAGTCCATACTCAGATATCCCCAATGTCAAAAAATGTTTTGTAGATTTTCCTTCCAGTCAAGAGTGATGCACTGCATTTGGTAATGAGTCTAGTCTCCTTTAATCTAAAATAGGTCCCTTACCCTTGTTTTGCCCCTTTTCTTAATGTTTTGGATGACACTGAAATATTTGAGGAATTGAGGCTGACGGTCTGAATTTGTCTTGTAGTTTGATTCAGGTTGAACATTTTTTGGAGAGAAAAATGCATGGGTGTGCAGCAGGCTTTTAATGGTGAAGAAGCAGAATGAAAAGTAAACGGTATTTCTTTTCTTCTTGGCTTCTGCAGGATTCTGAACACAAGCAGTTTACTCTGTGACTGCCATTTGAAGTGGTTGCTTCAGTGGCTGGTTGATAATAACTTCCAGCATTCTGTGAATGTAAGCTGTGCACACCCTGAATGGCTAGCAGGGCAGAGCATCCTGAACGTGGACCTGAAAGATTTTGTCTGTGGTTTGTATTTTGTTCTAAAATTCTGTATACTACACATTGTCTTTTTAAAATCATTTTATTATTATTTTTTCATCATGATAAGTGTACTCTTCAATCTCCATCGCCTCCTCCCACCCACCTCCCTCCTGGTAACCATCAGTTTGTTCTTTATGGCTAAGAGTCATTTCTTGGTTTGTCTCTCTCTCTCTTTTTTCCTTTGCTCGTTAGTTTGGTTTCTTAAATTCCACATATCAGTGAAATCTTATGATACTTGTCTTTCGCTGTCTGACTTATTTCATTTAGCATTATACTTTCTAGCTCCATCCATGTCATTGCAGATGGTAACATCTCTTTCTTTTTTACGGCTGAATAATATTCCATTTTATGTATATACCACATCTTTATCCATTCATCTATAAATGGACATTTGGGCTACTTCCATAATTTGACTATTGTAAATAATGCTGTAATAAACATAGGGGTCCATGTATCCCTTTCAGTTCCTGTTTTTGTATTCTTCGGGTACTTTGGTACCTGGATTGTAGGGTAGTTCTATTTTTAATTTTTTTAGGAACCTCCATACTGTTTTCCACAATGGCTGCATCAGTTTGCATTCCCACCAGCAATGCAGGAGCGTTCCTTTTTTCCACGTCTTCACCAACACTTGTTTCTTGTGTTTTTTATTTTAGCCATTCTGACACACGTAGGGGTGATATCTCATTGTGGTTATGATTTGCATTTCCCTGATGATGAGTGCTGTTGAGCATCTTTTCATGTGTCTGTTGGCCATCTGTCTTTTTTGGAGAAATGTCTGTTCATGTCTTATGCCTATTTTTTTTTTTTTTTTAAAGATTTATTTATTTACTTTAGAGAGAGAGTGCATGAGTGGGAGGGGCAGAGGGAGAGAGAATCTCAAGCAGACTCTGCGCTGAATGCACAGACCAATGCGGGGCTTGATCTCACGACCCTGAGATCGTGACTTGAGCCGAAACCAAGAGTCAGATGCTCAACTGACTGGGCTACCTAGGCGCCCCTGCCCATTTTTAAATTGGATTATTTGTTTTGGCGTATTGTGCTGTATCAGTTCTTTATATATTTTGGATATTAACCCTTTATTGGATATGTCATTTGGAAATATCGTCTCCCATTCTGCAGGTTGCCTTTTAGTTTTGTTGGTTTCCTTTGCTGTGCAGAATTCTTTTTTTTTTGTTAGATTTTATTTTATTTATTTATTAGAGAACAAGAACGTGCACACAAGCAGGGGGAGCGGCAGGCAGGGGGAAAGGGAGAAGCAGGTTCCCCACGGAGCAAGGAGCCTGATGCAGGACTTGGTCCCAGGACCCTGAGATCATGACCTGAGCCAAAGGCAGACACTTAACTGACTGAGCCACACAAGCGTCCCTGTGCAGAAATTTTTTATATTGGTGTAGTCCCAGTAGTTTATTTTTGCTTTTGTTTCTCTTGGCTCAGGAGACATACCTAGAAAAATGTTGCTACAGCTGATGTCAGAAATTACTGCCTCTGTTCTCTTCTAGGATTTTTATGGTTTCAGGTCTCACATTTAGGTCTTTAATCCATTCTGAGTTTGTGGATGGTGTAAGAAAGTGGTCCAGTTTCATTCTTTCACATGTAGCTGACCAGTAGTCCCAGCACCATTTGTTGAAGAGACTTTTTCCAGTTTTATATTCATTTCTCCTTTGTTGAAGATTAATTGACCATATAGTTGTGGGCTTATTTTTGGGTTTTCTCTTATATTCCGTTGATCTGTGTGTCTGTTTTTATGCCATATTAACTACTACCACTTTGTAGTATGACTTGCAATCTGTAATTGTGATATCTCCAGTTTTGTTTTTCTGTCAAGATTGCTTTGGCTACGTGAGGTCTTTTGTGGTTCCATATAAATTTTAGGATTGTTCTAGTTCTGTGAAAATGCTGTTGGTATTTTGATACAGGGATTGCAGTAAATGTGTAGATTGCTTTGGGTAGCATAAACATTTTAACTATATTTGCTCTTCCAATCCATGAATGTGGAATGTCTTTCCATTTCTTTGCATCATCTTTAACTTCTTTCATCAACGTTTTATAGTTTTAGAGTACAGATATTTTACCTCTTTGGTTAAATTTATTCCTAGATATTTTATTGGTTTTGGTTTAATTGTGAATGGGATAGTTTTCTTTTTTTTTTTTAAAGATTTTATTTATTTGACAGAGAGAGATACAGTGAGAGAGGGAACACAAGCAGTGGGAGTGGGAGAGGGAGAAGCAGGCCCCCCGCAGAGCAGGGAGCCCGATGCGGGGCTCGATCCCAGGACCCCGGGATCATGACCCGAGCC